ATGTGAAATACAGTTGTGAGGCAAGTCCGTTAATTGGGTTAATACATTAACAGTCAAGTTACACACAAGTACCTTTTCACCTGTGAATTACCTTGGGTAGTTGTGACTGACCCTCTAACTAACACATCAGCGATACGGCTGTAAAGAATTTCTGTAGTACAAGGTCAGACCGTCTGGTACATCGTTGGGCATGTACCTATACACAGCTGACTTGTGTACCAGGTGAGGCTCTGTTATTTGAAAATAACAGGTGTGCTAAAATTAGGAGTATCATCAGGAGATAATTTTGTGGGTTTTTTTAACAGAACTGCTTATAATAACTAGGAGGGGTATCAGAAATCAGAAGTACCTCACCTAATTGGGAGGTACAGAAGTAACATACAATGCTTAATTTAATTGATATGTGTATGCATGAACTTTTTACACAGCTACAAGGAAGTACTGGTTGTGTACAAGGTAATTACTGTATTATTACCAGTATAGTGCCAGATCCTAGTACCTTTAAAGCATCTACTAGTGTATGTGACATGTGCAACAGGCCAACAGCTGAATGGAAGAATCTGGAATGATTACCCTCACACATGATGTACATGTACATCAATACCTTAGGCTTGGTATCTGAACACCTATATTTATTGTAAACACATTTCACAAATGCTAACCTGAAACATAATCAATGTCACAGTTATATTACCTATACACATTCTCTGTTTATGTACTAAAAGTCAGCCTAAACGACAGGTCACTAATGGTTGACCACAGCTCTACATTTAGGTAGATCTACTACAGTGGGTCCATAATATATATACAGTACACAAACTTTACATTATCTTACAAACTTCTTTTATAATTGCAAGCCATTATCATGAACAAATCATGCGTGAAAGCAACCAGGTATAATTTCAGCCAATGTGTACATGTAGCAGGAGGTAATTATTGTGTACAAGTGCTGCTGTGACTCACACCCGTCCTGTATACAAACACTCGTACAGTTAAAGTGCACAAGTCCTCTGTTATTGACCCGAGTGATGTACAATGACCTAATACTTAATTGAAACAAAAATGCAGAGGACGAAAAAAAGGTGGTTAGATAGCTGTGTGCAAGGATGAATGAGCTTTTTCGAATCTACCTTTATAGTTTTAAGATAAGGGAAAATGTATTTGTGGTTTAAACATGTAAAGTGGTAATTAAACATAAGTGGTTTGCTTTTTTTATTTATATAAATAGATGTAAAAAACCAAGAGAATGACAGTATTTACATTTTCTAAGTTTTAGGGTGTTTTTTTTGGTAGAAGATGGGAAAAGATAGCCATAATTTCACTTTTTCAGAGGTGAAATTATGTCTAATTATCAATCATTATATCAGCAAGTATAATAGCATGTCTGTTATAGAAGTCTGTTATAGCATAATTCAATAGAAATATTTAAATACACTTATACAGCCTGCTTTCGACTCGACATATAAAGAGGGTGGTCATAATAAAGGTCAAACAGGAATATTGGTTATTCATTAAATATTATACATAGATAATATACATGAATATTCTTTGGGAAAACATTTTATTTTTGACTATTTATAAATATATATAATAGTTAACCGGTGTTTTATTATTTCCAATTATTCTTTACTATGCAGGTATTCTCCCAGTGGGAGTTTAAATATTCTAAAATTTAGGACACACTAAAAAGCTTCTCTATAATTTTCAAATTAGTCTCTGGGCATGCCAGATGTTAGCAAGTTGGATACATATATACTAATAGTGTCAGGCAATGTGTTCCATATGGTATCAACTACCACAAATGTAAGTTTTATACTGTCGTGTATCGATCTCATCTGTTTAAAATGAATTTCACGAAAACCAAGGCTAGCAGATACTGGACTTAAGGCAAAAATCCATCTCTTCCAGTGTTGGACACTAACTACAAGACTTCCTGAAGGAAATATCCTAATGATGAAATAGAAAAATAACTTGACTGCAGGAAATATAAAAACCTTCTATTGTAAGGAATGGTTATATTAAGTAAAGATTACGATATTTGACTATCAACATGCAATCCCTTGTTTTTTGAAAGAAATATTCCCCCTAGCCCGTATGCTTCCATCTATAAGCCAGTCCCAAGCTGATAAAACTTGTTTCACAACTGTTGTGAAATGAAATACATAATGCAGAATATTCTGATTCTATAATTTAATCAGGCAAATGATTTTGTCATAAGTATTCACATAATTTTACAAGTCAAAGGACTAGTTTACCGAGTCCTTGCTAAGTATATGCAGTCAGGAACTTGAAGGTAAGTGGTAGCTCTAGATCTCCCAACACTTATTTCACAACCACCTAATTTTATGAAGATGCATTACTGAGGAAATTAAATTAAAGCATGTTGCAAGGCTAGCAATACATGTTCTGTACAAGCTGTAGGGAGACATATATATATATATATGATACCTAAAGGCAGGGGGCAAAGGGCAGTTTTTTTCAGAAACATGGATAAATTTGGCAAACAGGATTCAGTTCCTAGAATATCAACACTGGAAAGTATTGATTAAACAGGATGTAATGTTCCACTTGCAGGAATTCAACTTTCCGAGACCTTTATAGGGAGAGCTGAGGAAAAAAATAGACCTCCTCTTTCTCAGTTTCAGTTAATATACTGTATTCCATGCATGCACCAAACTTAAATAAAATGTAAACAACAAAGAACTTGAGCTTGTAGATTAATCTCTAGCTTAGACAGTGCACATAGATCTAGATATACCTATGTGCATGTGCACCACATTCAGAATCTTTCAAAGGTAGTGATGAAATCGAGTTTGACATCCACTTTTTTATATTCATTTCACAAATATTTTGCACAACGTAATGACATTCAAAGGTTTTCTCTCAATCATCATGATACAAATTTTACATAAATAATTTAAACAATTTAATATCAAAAACTGTTATGGACTGAAGTTTTCTAGCACTGTTACTGAAATTCTGAATATTATTTAGTATATATATTCCTTTGGGACTGGGAGCAAAATAGTATTAGTACGACAGCAGATGTGTATTGGAAGCTTACACATAGTTGGTTAAGATATGTAGGCACACATAGTTGGTTAAGATATGTAGGCAAGATATATCCATCATTAGTAGACTATACAGCGCTTTGATGTCACAGAGCACTTAAGAACTCCTTAGGGCCCCATGTGTGACCAGGCATCACTACAGCCTAGATATATTTTGCCTAGCTACATAACTTCTATCTCAAGCAAACATAAAACTACACTTGTAAAAAAATCAATCAAACATGTCTGAAGGACATATGAATGAACGACCTTGCAGTGTGACTTTGTTATAATTCTATAGTGCTGACCTTGCCTTGTGTACTATAATCATGCCCCAGTGACTTCCCCACATTGGCTCTCACCCTTATGTGACCCAGACGAGATTTCGATCTTATGATTCAAGTGATCATGATAAAGGACGACTTCCACTGACACACTAGCTAAGTCATCAAAATGTGATGAATCCATACAACCTCTGGATCAAATTGTTTCTGATATATATATGTTCAAGAATGAATTATATAATATGGTTCAAATGTTCATAATTTTTATCAGCATTTTGACACAGCAATAAAACATTTAGTAAATTATTAGTAATCCAATGCTTTTCTTTTTTCTTTTTTTTTATTGTGTCAGACTAGTATTTCCAATTAGAACGTTTCACTGAAATTAGTTTACAGTTTTGCAATTATCATATGTACTTGTATGTATTTATTTTAAGTGTGGCAAATACCTATAATCTGTATGTACTATTGGACTTACATATATAGTTTTATATAGATATATTCATGTGCATTTGTGCAAAAACTAGGATTTTCAACATAATCCTTGCTAGAGGTGTCAAGATTCACCACAATGCACTTGTACCCCGATTATTTATGTTCAATTCAATTCACAATATATTTTTCCGGATTTTCGATACGTCACGATCTGAATATAAGTGTATGCTGCTTCAGCTGAAACGTCTGCAAGATGTTAAATTTCATTGGGTGATCTCCAAACCCTCAGCCAATCAATCGGCTGCAAGGATCCAATTTTCACAAAGCATTCATAACAAAATGGTGGACCGCGGTAAGGAAATGGAAATTTTTGATGCTCCGGCAAGTTTCAAATCAAAAGTGTGGAAATACTTTGGGTTTCCATGTATCAACGGCTTATATATCTCATTTTGTTGATATCTTAAAATAAAGGAAATAATCAAATCGTGGTACAAATATCGAGATACATATCAAATCGTGGGTAAATCGTGACAGCTCTAATCCTTGCACATATTTCTAAATGCCCAGTATATATATATATGGGTCAAAGAAGTAATATAGACGGTAAAATCACATATAACACTGGATCCACAGCTGTTTATCAAGATATGTGCCATAATGTGGTACAAGTTAGCAAGGAAGATAAGAGAAAACCAATTTCACCAATATCCATAATCGATGACAAAACAGCCTGGAATAAAATTCTTAATTGCTGCAATGAAAATTTTCTATCACACTGGAAGCTTCAACATTAAACCAAAATAATGTGCTTCAAAAATCTATCAAATCATTTTTGCCTTAAATAATAATACATGTAAATGAATATCTTATACCTACCTTGAATCACATACAAAATACATCTCAAATCTAAAGTACACAGTGGAAATCCAGTGGGGTTTTTAGGGCCTTTTTGTGGGGCTGATAATTGGCCCTGTTCCCAATTTAACCTTGTTATATCAAGACTGATCTTGATATGATTCTCAAATTTGCTGTTTTTTCATGAGGATTTCCTTTTCAATTGGTATATTTTCTTTCCAAAATGAGACAAAAGGACCCAATCCCAAATGGGCAAAACCCTGATGAGGGCCAGAAATCCAGGTAAAATAATGGTTAAGACTTCAAAAGACTGCTTTCCTGAATAAATTCAAAGGAAATTGTAACGACATGTGTATGATATTACAGCATCTTTTACCTTGTGTGAAAGACAAAACCGGATGAAATGCAGGGTCGAGGATGGACACGCGCTCCTGCATTGGCATGTTGTCAGGGTTGACGCTCTGGATGTTGTTATACCGCCCACCACACATAGGACATGATGACTTCGGGGGATAACACTCACAACGGATTGTGGATAAACGCGCTGCCTTACGACTACGTTGGTGCAAACCGGATGTCCAAAGAAGCTTCCGTTTCCGATAGCTCCGAACAGGCCGACACCGGGCCGCCTGACAAGTCAAATCGGGTGGGAATGGTGACGTTGGAATCTCAGGTGTTGATGCAACACTGTCCCCTGCTGGTCCGACTTGTTGTGTGTGTGGTGTACTAGGAGTATCAGAGGATGTTCCCGACGCACTGTGTTCATGAGATTGTCCTATCACGCCATTCAGTGGCTTTGCACTATGATTTTGCTGTCCCCTCACTTTATTGCTGTCTCCTGTATTACTACTGTTACTGCCCCCTTGTGCAGGGGAAAGACAATTGCCTAAAGACTTAGTTAATTTCGATGCCTGCATGTTTACATTCATGAGCAAAGTTGAAATGTTACACGGCGAGGCTTCATTTTTCTTTTGCAGGTTAGCAATTTTAGCGTCCAGCGGGGACAATTTGGAATCTGCTGCCTTCCCTTGTTTAAGTCGGATACTCAAGTCCTCGGGAGCAGGAGCCTCGCCAAGTATAACACTTCCCTTTGTGTGTCGTATTTGTTTGAAAATTTCACTTTGTTGTCGAATGCGGTATTCTAAATCTGACACTTGCGCCTGAAGCCATGTCCACCTAGATGCTACTGCTGCACGATCTGTTGCCCATTTCCACTCTGCTCTACGATGCCTGCAAATAAAAAATACAACTAATTCAAAATCATGTTCAAGCATACATAATAAATACTCAAAATCACCCTGTTGCAACTGCAAACATTTGATGTCATGATCAGATTTAATTTTAAAACAACTGAAAAGTTTTGAGCATACACATATAAATTTTGAAATTGAAAGGTACACTTATCAATTTGCCCGACATGTGCGACTTGTAGCAAATTTTAAAATGCTAAGGTCATTGAAAACAATTATTTCTTACTGTGAAATTATTGTGTTTGGCTTATACTAGTACAAAAAGATATTGTACATAAATCTATTTGAAAAGTCTTATTTATTATAAACTCATATATACTTATTCAAAGGGAGACAAACCCGATTACTTTGGAGAAACTTGATGGCTGATCATAAAATTACATGGAACAAGATATTCAATTTGTTGTGTACATATGAAATGAAGACTACCTTTTTAGGGGCTGTCAAGAATACACAAACCTATACAAATTTTCTAAAAGTATTCTCATTAGGTTTTAAAGTAGGTTGTTCATTCACATGCTAAATTGTGTTTTAAAACCTATGAATATTCTAAAAAATAGCCTGATCATGATCAAGTTCATGAAATAGAAAGAAAATTGGAACAAGGAGGGGTCAATTTCATTTTTGATGGCCCCCTCCAGGATTATCCCTACAATGAACAAATCCTAATAAGGATTTTTCTGAATTAATGACACTGAAAACTGAAAGATTTTACATTACTATCTGATCACGATACATAGTACTAGTACAAAGTAGAAGTTGAAAATCAAAAGTTGGAATTTTTTAAGAGAAAATATTTTAATATTAATCTTATTGGTATTAAACTAAAACCTACAATACACAACATTGACAACTTAAACCAGCATTGTTATCTGATGTGTGCAGTGCAGCCCTGATATATTCATTCATGAACATATTATTACAATGTAACAAATGTAATTAATATTGCAATTAACTGAATTAATTATCTTTTTGGCAATTTCAGCAAGGACTGACTAGTGACTAGTGACCTAACCCAACTGGTCCTTTAGACTTGTAAAAATATGATTATAAAATATGTATATTTCTTTTTGAAATTTCAAAAGCAGTTTAAAATCAGATATATTGCATGATAATTGTCAACATTTTCCCAAAAAAATGTTTTTATGGCAGTAATTATTTTAAGTCCCCTACAGGCGATTACTTTTGATATTTCGTGCTGTAGAAAGCGATGTTTCCTTATCAGGAAATCTTGGACTAGTTACATTGACAAAGGACTTAGTAAATAATCAATTCAATTAGTCCTGTGGACTACCAATCAAAAAACACTAGTGTCTAACCCTGAAAATCGCACCATATTCCCCCGAAACTGCCCACCAAATTTATTGCACCTTCCAATTTTATGACAACAAATTGGGAAATTTTAGCCAAATTTTCCAAGGGGAAAGGGGACTCAGTCCTACTCAGTCCCAATTGTTATTGTAGGAGAATCCCTGAATTCACTTACAAATTTTGACTACTTTATGTGGCTGCCTGTATGCTAAATTTGTCTTTTGCAATGAAAATAATATCAAAATGACTTAAAATCTAATCCCAATGAAATAATTATTTCATGAAAAGTAAGGAATGTGTCAAAGACGAAACCAGTGCAGTTGGCTCCAGAAATCAAAAGGACTATATACATGTATATATATAATATTTTCTACATTATATTATTTCAGATGACACTGCCTGGTGGCTGTAGTTTCACTTCCTGTGATATATACCAGACAATCAATACTATAACTTATAAATATATAAATGTGTCTGCATCTAGAAATCCAGACATGTACACCAGTAGTGTCACACCATCTGATTCAGCAATCCATAGCATGTGTACATCAACAAAGTGCAAATCATACAGTATCCACTCACCCAAACCCAAGACAAGTAAATTTTATGTTATATATGGCCGTCATACTGTACCTAGTGATAACTTTCCAACATTTACCATGAAATTATGGACTCGTAGAATATTTTTAAAATTTTCTTTACTTACGTTTTACTCTAATATATGCTAGTATTCTTTCTATGACATTAAACATAACTGCTAACATTAAATGTTTAACTACTTCAGCCAAGCTCATGATCACATGAGGACCAGCTAAAATTGGCCCTTAATTAATTTTGTATGATGTTACTGATTTAGCAAGGTGAATATGGATTGTATCAATCCAATTGTATATACATTGCTCTTCAGATAAATAAGTCCTCAGTACAAGCAGGGAAAGTTCAGTATATAGGTCAACATTATATGCAATAGTAACACATGGCAGATTGCCAGTATCTGACCTGCCTGGCCTTGGCAAGCCAATTTAGCCAATAAGTGACCATGACCTTTGAACAACAAACTTAAAGCTTTTCATAAAATGTAGTAACAACATAAACCCTTTTCATACAAATCTCTTTCACTTTAGATTCACAATCAAAGTTTTAAATCCTTTTCAATAAAGTAGCCATCATTCAAAATATAAATGATCCCACCCAAGAACCAGAGGCACACTAAACTCCATAAACCCCTACTGAATCTGTCTAATTTTCTCATTTGCTCATTCTATCCTAGAAACATCATTCATGAGAACAATCAACATGGTACGGATTGTTGTATTTACCTACTAGCCGGAACTACTTTTTATGAGAATCCCCTTGTCATGGCGAACTGAAAAGTTCCCGGTATTTGCAAAAAATATCAAAGTTTATAAAATCTTTGTATCAATCTCTACCAAATAAGAAAGGTATGTGATAAAAGTAACGAATCAGAAAGCTCAAGTTTATTGCGCGGACGAATATATATATTCTAGAGTGCGAGGAACCATCATTTCATCAGAACAATCAACATGGTCAGTTTTTTTTTTTACTAATATATATATATATTAAGGTGTCTTCAAAGAAATCATACAACATGCAATTTTGTTGTAATGAATTTATTCCTTGGAAACTTTCACTCTAGGAGGAATTACAAACAACCCCTGAAAATTAATAAACAAAGAAATCATAACATTAACAGCAATATGCAAGATATTATCATTATAATGCCACCTCAAAGTTAGTTAAATGCAGCAATATTTTCATTAAAATGTGTGTCTCTATCATGCTCAGAAAAAATAGGATAAGTAGCAGACTACTAGGTAGGCAATTGTAGGGTAGGTATACAATCCAGGGTAGTAGGTAGGGTAGGTCAATACCTGAAATGGAAGTGGTTTTTTTTTATTTGACCTTGAATCATCACACTCATTCTTTTACATCGTTTTTTTTTTAACTTGCATTTGAAAAATTATGCACATTTATTGATGCATGGGGATCAAGATTACCTGTAACAACTTTTAAAATGTTCAGTCAAAAATATACCAGGATGTGGCATCAAAATTGTGAGCATGGCCATGTGCATACTGTAATTTCAAGCAGTATTCAGAATTTCCTAAATGTATCTAAAACTTGAGAATATTTGAAAAACATTACATATCAAAATTATTCAATTAATATATATCTTTACATTCTGCACTGGACTGCAGCAAAAAAAATGTGTAACTGGATAACATTTAGAAACGGGAACATAAATACAAGTTAAATTTGCATTTGTGAATCTTGTTTAATTTAAAGAACAGGGTGTTGATATTTTAGGTAACTTGCTAGTAATACTCTTTAAATATTTACCAGATATAATGCTATTCTGGACCTTTGACAGGTGAAATACATCCATAATAACAGGCCTTGACATTTCAATGAACCTGTGCTACAGAATGCTGACTATACAGCTGTACTCGCTGTTAGCTTACAAACTATGAAGTGGCTGTTGTCAGTTCACATAGCTAGAGATCAAGTAAAGGTTTGAGTCGGGCACTAGGAAGAAATTTTGTTGTTGAATTTTGTTAGGTAATTATTTCATTAATTATGCATAAATATGAACCTCCCCCATTTGAGTTTCACATGCTAGCAAATCAATGGTGTAGTACTCCAAATGTACTATAAATAGCCAAGACAAACTGATGCAATACACATGGTTGTACACAGCTGCCAGACCTTTGACTGCTGTTGGGAAAAGAACCCATACAACTTTCTCACATTACTATAGATATTATAGTTTATACAGGGTACCTTACTTCTGTTCATATCCTCTTAAAGTAATACTCCATAGATTTTCATGCTAAATATATTGATCAATACGCCCATAATATCGTAACAGAAAACTTTTCTTGTGATGCACTGATGGCATATACCAAATCATGATCATCCACACAATCGTTAAATTAAATGGGTTTTTTCCAGATGTTTTCAATATTTCTTTTTAGATAATATGTCTATTAATAAAATCAAACCAGTTTCATACATCACCTTATACCCATAATCATCTTAAACTTGCCACATGTAATTCAAATATGCGGTAATCTATGCAATAGGGGATGGTCAATACAGACAATTCAAGGAAGACCTTTAGAATTGAACCAAACTTCATGTCTTCATTGATTTGCATCATAATGTTCCGATTCTGCTGCAGCTATTATATAATATGCTGTCAAATCAATTATAAAGAAATAAATATAATTTAACAAGGTTTTTGCTGGACTGTCGGTGTCACTTTACCAGTCTTGAAATTTCTTAATCAGTGATCAATACTATTCAACTGTTCATGATCACTCTGTCAATAGGCAGGAAAAATGGCTTTCAGTCGACCCTTGACATTTAACAATTTCAGATGTGAAATCACCTTTTCTTTTTAATTTGAAGAGTCTTAACATATTTAAAATAAACATGAGCCCTAAAACCGAAGAGTCGAAACTCATTGCTGAGATAAAATAATACACTGAAGGGTCTACTGAAAGCTCTCTGGTATGTTATGTCATGGGCCATTCACAACCTCAACATTGACTAGAAAGTGTGTCACTCTCAAAAACTAATGGTCCATGATCATCTCATCAGAGGGGCACACATTGTGTAAAATATCAATCATGCCATCGTAAACAAGTAAAATGTGCTGTTTATAAATGAAATGAGAATAATAAATGTCCAAGTCTCCCAGAATTAACACTTACAATATTATACCGTTAGCAATGTAGTAATTTTTGAATGTACACCAATATTAGAGACCATTTGCTTATACGATGCATTATTATCAACTGACCAGAATAAAATTTTGTTTCAATTTCTTTATAAATACAGTAACAGTGAGATATTAAGATACTGGTGTGAACAAAAACCAGACAGACACCTGTTTTGATGTTTTTTAAACCAGTATACTTACAAAGGATTTAATGTTGTCTTTGGATCTCTGTCATAGTAAATATCATCTTCATCACAACTCTCTCCTCCAGAACTACTTTCTGTGGCATCAGAATCTATGGCACTTTGTGCATGCTTCAAGTTCATAGTAAGGTGTCCTGCCACTCGACTGGATTCTGTACATGTTTCCTCGTCTATAGAGAGGACACCCTGTGACACGATGTCCTTTTCGCTTTTCGTCTGACTAACCAGACGCTGTAGCGATGTCTTGTTGTTATTGTTTGAGGACTGTAATTTCCTAACAAGATTAACAAGTGCTGCTGTTGACAAACTCTTAACATCTTCGCTCTGAAATAGGTCTGTTTTCAGATCATTGTTATTACTATTATTTGATTTTATAGTCTTTGCAACTGTCTGCAAGTTACTATTCTGAAAATTAACAAAACTGCTCAACTGATTTCTGACATGGCTTTCCAAATGATTTCCTTGAATGCGCCGTAGCCTTCGAATCAAGGCTTGTGTGCGCCTTTCTAACACATGCTGCTTTCGTCCTACTTGTTCTGATAATTCAAGTTTCTTAACCCCTGATTCACAGACAGTTTCAGCTTGCTCCTTCGATTTGCTAATTGATGTTTCACCGACATCTGGGCCGTTCCCCATTGAAGCAACCATATCAGATCCAGATGATGATACTAAATTGTTCACTGGAGCTCCTTGTTGATTTTTAGAAACAGTCTTGTTATTACTATGAGGAGTATGTTTAACTTCACTGAAACTCAAATCATTCACATTCAACGATTGTTTGTACGGGATATTGCGCTTTTCCGGAACTTGGAAATCTTCACGTTTAATTTGACTGATCAATCCTCCTTGTTTACCTGTGCTTTTTGTCTCATTAACAGAGTTCGTCTTGTTCATTTTCTCATCAGCCTGAATTTGATTGCCGTTCTGTTCTAAAACAGAAAACGAAAGAGAATGTTCTTGCGATATTTGGGGCAATTTCTGAACTAATTTTAAGTGTTTTAAATTTGCTGCAGTTATTTGTTTACAACCAACCGGTTTTAGTAGCCCTTGTTTGTGGGCCTGTTGTAACTGCTGCAAGGTCAAATGTGAGGTGAACCCCACGATGCCTCTTCCTTGTTTACCTTTGGCGCACGGTGCGCCCAACCTGTCCCGTTCAGACGATGCCGTCGATACCTTCTCAGCTTTATGATGGGCCAGTCCGTTCCCGTTAAGAAGAGGTGTTGTCAGCTCGGGTGACGCTGGGGGTGGGGATTCAGACAGTTTGATACGAGCTTGTGTGACCGCTTCCGTGAGAGCGGGAGCCATAGCGGCCATACAACATACTCTCAATGAAAGAGGGATCGACATAAACGCGACCTCCCCGTAATTTCTACCATCGGATATGGCAGGGTCTAGCGATCAAGGGATTCATAAAATATATTGTCCTTTATGTTAAGATTACCAAACTGCACAGTGATATAGTGCGACTAAGAAATCTTGTCGTCTTGTCCTAATATAATCACAGAGCACGTGACTTTTTTGTCATTCCCCGTCGAGTTTCACAAATGAAAACAAACCGCAAATCAGCTGTTGTCTCCTTCCAAACGCAGACCATTTCACCATTGTGTACATCCAATTGTCAGATAATAGTTCGTTAAGATGCAAGAATACAAAAATGCTGCCATTTCTCTGAGAAACGAATAATTAAATAGCAAAAAGGAGTGGACCACGTGATCTGGCCACGTCCCTTAAGCACACATGCATGAAGTTATGTCTGAATCATTTTCCGACGCTTATTATGCATTCGTTTTACTTCCTTCGTGCTAACACATTATCTGAAATGATGTAAAAATTCCTCTTCTTTCTGTTGATATGCTGTTCAGTGTAGATCATGTCCTGGAATCCATGAGTTTCTGCAGTAAAATGGAGTACGCCCTGTCATTCTTTCTGGCGCAGCAATGGCGTTTGGATAAGGTGTATATTCATAGAGCTCAATCTTCCATAGAGGAAAAATGCGGGCTGTCATTACCTCGGTAGTAATGCGTCATTTCCACTATCCCTCTAGGGGCAATTGTATGATTGGTCGGTTGCGTGAGATTTGTCTGAGTAAATCGTTCACACTTACTCCCCAGTAAAATATAGTGTCACCACGGTTTATTCAATTTTGAAAGATTTATCCAGGCTATTTCTGATTTCATTCATCACGCATTAATATTATTAAAATTAAGCAAGGTACATTTTAATAACAATATCATTCTAAAAATGGAAAAATGTCCACAGACAATGGTGAACGGCATTAGTATCGTAGACTGAACAGCAGAATGAAAGTGTGCGCAAGGTGGTTTCCCTCGCGCTCGTGTGTGTAGATTTCGGGGAAAATATAGAACACTCGGTTTTTTTAAGTTATATGAAAAAAAGTATTAGTTATTTCAGAATGCATGCATAGTTAAACATAATATTATGTATTTTCTAAATTATAACTCTGTGTAATATATGTGCTGATACTGCATACTTGCATTATAAATAGCGATGACCTCGTTTGTAAAAAAAAATGTATTAGAAGTTCATTCTTTAAGGCCTGTTGTTTCCCGTTACCTGTCGATCAATGAAGTACGGCTATCGTAGTTGTTATTTTTTTTAAATACATTTATAGAATTCAAGTGCACATGTGTATGTTCATGGGTTTCTTCATTGAAAAGTCAGTCTTGAACTGCTCAGGAGAGTGGGTTTGCTATTTCATTATGATTTTATTTTGCATTTCGACCCATTAAATGTATATATATTGTTTTGAAGAAATTGCAATAAAAACAATGAACAATTAATTTACCATACTATCAAGTCGTTTGATATTAAATTTAGTACGTGTGAAAGACGTACGTTAATCGAGGGATGATATCACAGAACAACGACAAAAAGGGTTAGATACTAGCATTGACTAAGTCGATAGTAGTCATAATTATAAATGTAATTTTAAACTAAACACACATATATATATATATTAGAAGAAGAAACGTTATCATCAACTATATAGTATCAATCGTGCGTAAGACCAAAAGGATTTTGATTTGTAAAGACAGTGCAGACAAAGATATTTGTCAAATTTTCAGGGCGATCTGCCCCTTTATCAAGACAGGAAAATGAACATTTACATTTCACAACATAAAACAGAGGAAAACAGTCACCATCACATGAGACAATAATACAATACAAAATACATATAGTTTATTGTTAATTCAGAACTATATAAATATACAGTTAATTACTATAATGACGAATAATGACCGAATAACTGGAAGCTAAATCGAAACATTCTCCGAGTTCAATTACAAGCAATTTTATTTCATCCGTGGTAATTAATTGCTGCTGTCTATATATCACTTGTCGATATGCACTGGCGTTTGCACCCACTTTCATGGTCTGCTCCTTCAACTATACTCGCGAAGTCGTTGCCTTCTATACATTTAAATACTCTCTTACTTCAAATGTACGACCATCCCCTCCTATCTACTTCAGTTTTGGAGAACGTAAATTAATTATTATACATACTAAACTGAGGCACAATTGTAGTTCCCTTAAGTATGACCTTTACAGAGTTAATCTTGTCGAGAGTCCATTTTGCATCTGTGGACATCCATGTGAGAATGCCTTTCACTTTTCCTTTGAGTGTCAACTTTTTAGCAATGCAAGGCGTAGTTTGTTTCAAAATTTGACAGCCTTGGGTATAGATTTAAATTTAGAGATTCCTTTGTTTGGCAATCGAGATATTTCGGTTTTTAGACATGTGCATCACTTCATCAAATCCAGCAAAAGATTTTGAACGGTGCTTTTTTTTTTTTTTTTTTT